CAGTGTTGTGTTATTTATTATGTTGATTTTATACTTGTTGCGATCGTTGGAATGTTGTGTATAAAGTACAAAACAAAGGTTAATTATCTTATTACTCAATATACATACAACTTCTTCTCCTCAATATACATACAACCTCTCCTCCTCCTCCTCCTCAACATGCATACAACCTCTCCTCCTCCTCTTCAACATACATATAACCTCTCCTCCTCCTCCTCAACATACATACAACCTCTCCTCCTCCTCCTCCTCAACATACATACAACCTCTCCTCCTCCTCTTCAACATACATATAACCTCTCCTCCTCCTCCTCCTCAACATACATACAACCTCTCCTCCTCCTCTCCAACATACAACCTCTCCTCCTCCTCCTCCTCCTTGCCACATACAACCTCTCCTCCTCCTCACTTGCCCTCCCCAACCTCTCCTCCTCCTCCTCCTCAACATACACTTACAACCTCTCCTCCTCCTCCTCAGCATACATACAACCTCTCCTCCTCCTCCTCCCCAACATACATACAACCTCCTCCTCCTCCTCCTCAGCTTTTTTTACCCTTCGCCTCTCACCCTCCCTCCTCCCTCCTTTATCCCCTTACAACCTCTCCTCCTCCTCCTCCTCAACATACACTTACAACCTCTCCTCCTCTCCTCCTCAACATACACCTTGCAACCTCTCCTCCTCCTCCTCCTCAGCTTACCTTGGCCAACCCTCTCCTCCTCCTCCTCCTCAATATATATACAACCTCTCCTCCTCCTCCTCCTCAACATACATACAACCTCTCCTCCTCCTCCTCAACATACATACAACCTCTCCTCCTCCTCCTCAACATACATACAGCCTCTCCTCCTCCTCCTCAACATACGTACAACCTCTCCTCCTCCTCCTCAACATACGCCTGGCCTCTCCTCCTCCTCCTCCTTGCCACCGCCACAACCTCTCCTCCTCCCTCCTCCCCAACAGCCCACATACAACCTCTCCTCCTCCTCCTCCTCAACATACATACAACCTCTCCTCCTCCTCCTCAATATACATACAACCTCTCCTCCTCCTCCTCCTCAACATACATACAACCTCTCCTCCTCCTCCTCAACATGCATACAACCTCTCCTCCTCCTCCTCCTCAAAATACATACAACCTCTCCTCCTCCTCCTCAACATGCATACAACCTCTCCTCCTCCTCCTCCTCAACATACATACAACCTCTCCTCCTCCTCTTCAACATACATATAACCTCTCCTCCTCAACATACATACATAAAAAAATAATAATAATAATACAAAATAAAGTTCTCATGAAGGGGATACTTACTAAAACATTTTCCCAGCATCACGGCTCAAGTATCATGGCACCTAGAACAACACCTCCTCCTCCCCCTCCATAATATAATTCCTACGAGTCCAAATAAACGAGCCAGTGAAGTTGTTGTGTGAGCATTGTTCTAGGAGACTCATCCATCGCCGCACGCTGCCTCCGGAAGGTAAGGTCTAGCACCATAATAGTGAGTCGTGATACAGGGCTACTGCACCATTGTTTTCACTGCTCTTGTTGCCACACCTGATGCATGAGGTGCCCCCACGCCACTGCCGCCATCACCCTTATCTCTCATGGGGGGGGGGGGGTAAGGGCTTTATCTGCATCAAGATTATCCTTTTCTTGAGTGTTTGTGTGTGTGAGAGGAACAGGGGAAAGGGGAAGATGGGTGGGGGAGAGGGATGATTGAAAGAGTAGGATTAGGAGGAGGTGGAGAAAGGGAGGAGGAGGAATAAGAAGAAAAGCAAGAGGAGAAGGAAGAAGAAGAAACGGAAGAGGAGAAAGAGGAAGAAGCGGAGGAGGAAGGGTGGTTGGGTATATGCTGTACGTGTGTGTGTATCTCCGGGTAGGCGGCGGGTTGGATGTGTGCCTGCATGTGAATGTGCCGGGTAGACAGGGTGTATGTATGCATGTATCTGTAGGTGTTTGTGTCTGTTTGTGTGTGTGTGGTGTGGTGTGTGTTTATGGCCCACAAAGAAGAAATGTCACACCGGTAAGATCTTTAGATGGCACCACGCTCTACAAAAGCAATCAAATGATTGCATTAAGATGGGCTGAGCACTTCAGGACACTTCTAAATCAAATTAATCCAATAACACCTACAGTACTGGATAACATTCCACCCATGCCGACCCTGCACCTCCTGGATGAAGCTCCACTCCTACAAGAAGTGGAAACTGCAATACGAGGGATCAGCAACAACAAGAGCGCTGGACCTGACGGCATTTCTGCTGAAATTTACAAACATGGAGGTCCCCATCTGATTGAGCGCCTCCATAGCGTCTTACTCACCATATGGGCCACAGAGACCATCCCCCAGGATTGGAAAGATGCAAATATCAAAACAATCTATAAGAATAAAGGTGACAAAGCAATCTGTGGTAACAGCAGGAGCATCTCCCTCCTTGTAGTTGCTGGCAAGATCCTGTAATAAATCATGTTCTCAAGACTTATCCAAAACCTAACGGAGAACACACTTCCTATATCCCAATGTGGATTAAGGAAGGATCGCAGTACAATAGACATGATCTTCGCAGCTAGGCAAATTCAAGAAAAGAGTCGAGAGCAAAACATAGACCTTTACACCGCCTTCATTGACCTCTCCAGAGCTTTCGACACAGTAAACGGAGAACTTTTATGGACTACATGTATGTTGGAGAGGGTCGGTGTACCACCAAGATTTTTAAACATCCTCCGCCAGATGCATGATGGAATGCAAGCCCGGGTACTTGTAGGTGGTGTGCAGTCAGAACCATTTAGTGTCCAAATGGGCTTAAAACAGGGCTGTGTGCTGGCACCTGTGTTGTTTAACATCTTTTTGCTGGCTGTAGCACAACTCTCACACAATGCCCTTGGGCCTGATGCAGGTATGGGCATACGGTACCGTCTTGACAGTAGCCTTTTTGATATTAGGCGTCTGGAAGCCTACACAAAGACCTTAACAACTCAGGTCATAGAACTACAGTATGCAGACGACTGTGCAATAATGACACATAACAGAGAATCTATGCAACGTGCACTGGACGTGATCTCAGGTATTTACAGCTCGCTTGGTTTGCAAATTAGCACCCAGAAGACTGAGATTTTTGTCCAGTCCATTGTTCCACCAAAAGAAGCACCACAATTCTACTCTAATGGAGATCTTATCAAAATAGTAAACCAGTTTAAGTACCTTGGTAGCACTCTCACACCCACCTGCTCACTGGATATGGAAATTCAAACCAGAATCAATTTAGCTTCAGCTGCATTTGGACGTTTGAGAACAAGAGTCTTTCTCAACAATGACCTCAAATATGGAACGAAGACTGCAGTTTATCTCGCGGTTTGTATATCTACATTATTATATGCCTCAGAAACCTGGGCGCCCTACAAACGCCATATCCAAATGCTGGAAAACTTCCACACTAGACACCTTAAGCGTATCTTTGGAATATCCTGGGAAGATAGAGTGACCCGTGAAGAACTATATCGTCGCTCAAACACGACCAGCATTGAAACCACGCTAGCCAAAAGACACTTGTGCTGGCTTGGACATGTTATCAGGATGCCAGACCACCGGCTTCCACATGTTATCAGGATGCCAGACCACCGGCTTCCAAGACAAATATTACATGGCAAGCTCTCAAATGGAAACCGCTCGGCGGGAGGACAGAAAAAAGAGATAAAAGGACCACTCTAAAACTCTACCCATGTGCTGTAATATACAACCAAATTCACTGGAGTAACTAGCCTCAGACCGTTCCTTATGGCGCTCAACATGCCATAGAGGAGCGGAAACACTTGAGACCTCACTGAACCAAAAGAGAGCTACTAAACGAGCCCAACGACATCAGAGGGTCCAAGGCATAATTCTCTCAATGAACAACATCCCTGTCACCTATGCAACAAGATCTGCGCCTCCAGGATTGGACTCCATAGTCATCTACGGTGGCATCAGAGAAATAACACATAACTCACCAATCATCTCATCTGGAGCAGCATCGTCATTGACTTCGATGGACTGCCATAAGCAGTAAGTAGATAAGTGTGTGTGTGTGTGTGTGTGTGTGTGTGTGTGGTGTGAATTCATATCTGTCTACTGTATGCATGACCATTTACGTACTCTGGATCTGTTTATGTGTGCATGTGTTTAGATACCAGACCCTCTGTTACGTCTCTGGGGATCATGGCACAGCTGACGTCGCCTGGGGGGAGGGGGATGCTCTTACGACAGTCAGAATAAAAATTACAAACATCTATTACTCCTTGACGTTGACCATAACAGCCCATCACATCATTCTCTCGTGGTACTTAATCCGGCCTTAATTTTCCTCCTCACGTCACACACACGTCATGTGATTCTCAGTCATAACATGCAAGCAAAAACCTGTCGTCATGGTGATTAATGAGAAAATATCATGGGACTAAAAAAAAACCACACCAAGCATATTATTTAACGTTGTCTTCTCTTTGATATAAATTAATGAAGGTTTTTAGTCACCGAGTCTTGAAAACATCTGTGAAGTTTTTTTTCCTCGTATGAAATTCAACTTAGATTTTAAGCATCACAGTTTTAGTGGGAAATATTTTCAAGAGTCATTATTGATAACGTTACGTGGGCCCCAAAAATTCTGTGAAAAAGAAAGAATTGTCACATCATCCTGAAATAAACGATGATTGATAGTAATATTATCTCTACATTGTCGTCCATAATTAAGATGTAAAACTCACGGATTATACTCGAATATATTGTCTTCATGTACCCAGCCGTGTATAAGGCATACTTACATGATAATATTGTATCATTTTGTGAAATATGATGGCAGAATTGGGCAAAATTACAGGACTTAACCGCAGTGATAAATTATAGATCCAGGTTACGTCGTGTTGGCTTTTAAGTCTCATGAAAAATATTCTCGAAGCAGTAAAATTTTTCAGATCATGAAGACCAAGAGAGACACGAGTCCTCTCTTAACTACACTAAATGACAGTTTATTATAAGGTTTAATATGTATAAATTAACCCAACACAGCTAAATTCCTGTAACAATACGTATTTTTGGGGCGATATTTACTGATATAAATCTAAATAGTGGAAGTTTCACCTGGAATAATAATAATACCACCATACCTGTCGTATCCACTAATTTAGTAAACTAATCCTAGTTACTTCAGAATTATAATCCTTCCATTAACTCCACTTAAACTACATCTTCACCTACCTATTCAACCTAACTTAATGGTTTACCTTTTTATTGAATCTAAGCCACACCTGTATAACAACGGCTCTCACTGCACCACTCTACTGTATAACATTATCTTTTCAAACCTGTGATATTGAATAAGTTAACTCAGGTGTATTATAATAAAGCCACAGGTGTATCAAGAGTCGCATCCAACCAGGTAGTTACAGTATGTCTTTGTACCATTGTTTTCGTGTGTGAGTTTTCTGCTTAATTAGATAGTTCAGGTTAGGTTAGGTTAGGTTAGGTTAGGTTAGGTTAGGTTAGGTTAGGTTCCTCTTTGGTTTAATGATTTCGCTATGGTTATCCTTCATCTCTCTCTTTCTCTCCCTTCTTTCTTATCTTATCTACCTCCCTCTCCTTCCCGCTCCCGTCTTCTTCCCCTTCCTTCCTTCCCTTTCTTTCCACTTCCTTCATCTTCTCCCTTTGTTTACCACTCCTTTTCTCTCCTCCTCCTCTCCTTCCTCTCCTACCCTTTCAGGCTTCCTCTTTTCCTAACCTCTCCTTCCTCCTACCACCCTTTCTCTTCCTTTTCTCTCCTCCTCCTCTCCTTCCTCTCCTACCCTTTCAAACTTCCCTCCTTTCTCCCTCCTTCCTTTCCACACACCCACTTTTACTATTGAGAGTGCGTCCCTCTAACCTCCCCCCACATCACTCCTTCCCTCCCTCCCTCCCTCCCTCACCTTCCCTCCTCCTTTCCTCCTCCTTCCCTCCTCTCTCCTTCACCTTCCCTCCCCCTTCCCTCCTCATTCACTCCTTTCCCCATCATTCCCCCTTTCTCTCCGCTCCTCCCCCATCATTTTCTTCTTTCTATTTGCTTTCTCTCTTCACCCTTTCCACATCCTTATCCTTCTATACACCCTTCTTCCTTCCTTCTCTCGATTCTTCTCTCCCTTCCTTCCTCCCCCAACCACTCATCTAGTACCTCCCTTCCTTCTTCCATCCCTCGCCCCCTATCTCCCTCTTCCTTCCTCCTATCCTCCCTCCCTCTCACATCCTTTTTCCCTCTCTCTATCTCACTCCCACCTCCCTTCCTCGTCCCCCTCCTTCTCTCCACTTCCTTCCTTCCTTCTCCCTTTCCCTCTCTCTTCCCACTCGTCTCCTCACTCCTTCCTTCCCCCCTTCCTCCTTCCTTGCCTTCTTTTCTCTCTCCTTCCATCCTGTCACCCTTCCCCCCAACGCACCCAACCACCCCTTTAGTACCTCCTTCCCACACCCTCATCTCCTTCCCTCACTTCCCACACCCTCACCTCCCACACCCTCATCTCCTTCCCTCACTTCCCCACACCCTCACCTCCCACACTCCTTCCCCTCACTTCCCCACCCTCTCCCCACCTCATCTCCTTCCCTCTCCACACCCTCATCTCCTTCCCTCACCTCCCCACCCTCCTCCCCACACCCTTACTCCCACACCCTCATCTACTTCCCTCCCTCCCACACCCTCACCTCCCACACCCTCACCCCCCGTCGTGTACAAACAATGGCAAATTACCCCTTAAAACACTGATTTATTCTTCATGTCGCCGACTTAGGTATTCGCCGCCGCCCACACGACTCACGGACACAGCACGGACACAACGAATACACTCATGTACACTACGAAAACACTCACTGGCACTACGAACACGCTAAGGACATCACGAACACACGCACGGACACAAAGAACACACCACGGATACCACAAACACAACACGGACACCACAAAACGCACACCACAAACACACGCACGGACACCACAAATACACGCACGAACACCACGAACACACGCACGGACACCACGAACGTTTAAGATGTTATAATTGTTGCGTAAATCTGATCGATATACAGCACATATAGAAAAATAGATGACGTTTAAATAGATAAATAAATAGATGGGTAGATTGATGAATAGATTGAAGTAATATAGACAAATAGTAGAGACAGATAGATTCAAAATAGATAGTTAGATAGAGATAGACAAATACGTTTATAGGATTGTT